CCCCAGTGCACAACCACATCAGTGGACCTGTGAAAATGTGAAGTCCGCCGGGATCCGAACTTCAAGAAAGAATGGAAAGGCGAGTTTGATAGACAACTGTGTCTCTCCCACGGCATTTCGCCAAGTTCGGATCCCAGCGAACTTCAGGTTCTTGCCTTTCGTGAAACCCAACTCGCGTTGCAACCCCAGTGCACAACCACAGCGAGGGACCTATGAAAATGTGAAGTCCGTAGGGATTCAATCTTCAAGAATGCACGGGATGGCGAGTTTTGCGGGCAGCTGTCTCTCCTTCGAAATTACGCCAAGTTCGGATCCCGGCGAACTTCAGGTAAGACATGTTTGTGGCTCGTCAGCTGGCCCGCGGATCCTAACTGTGCGTGCACGGTTCCTCGCACAATCCACAGGTTCGGACTCTGGCGTAATACGAACTCGTGAAAACGCGTAGTCCGCTGGGATCCGAACTTCTCATGCACGGTTCCTTGTGCAACCGTCAAGTTCGGATCCTGGCCCACTTTGCTTTCCGCACGGTGACGGTTCCGACCGTGGGATTTCTGGCGCGGGGTGGATTGTCAAAACTTTGGATACGTGAAAATCCCAAGTTTGTCGGGATCCGAAGTTGAAGCATGTTTGGGACATCGAGTGGGAGAGACAACTTCGTCTCTCCCACACAGATTCGCCAAGTTCGGATGGCGGCAAACATTGCTTTCCCGCCATTGGCGGGGCGTGTTGCCGACTCGCCTGCTGCCCCGTGGATGCGACAAGCACACCAAGTCTGCTCGATTCCGGACTTCACGGCATTTCGAACCAGGTTTTCGAATGTGCACTTCCTTGACAACTGGAGGTTGCAAAAAGCAAAACTGCACAGCGTGACAACGGCGAATGATCACGTCCTGGTGGAACTGGCGCCTCGTGCGTTCAGGGCAGACATGACCCCTCGCACAATCGTGAAGTTCGGGTGAAGTTCGGATCCCGGCGAACTTCACGGTTTTGCATGATGCGAGTTCTGCCTTTGATCTTTCTGGCGTCCGGCGACTTTTCGCAACGACATAAGCTCGCCGGGATCCGAACTCCGCATTGTGCCCGTCTTGGGAACCGTGACGGTTCTCCGAGTGCAGCCTGTTAACGTCGATTGTCAGTACTGAAGCTATTGCTTTATTCGCCTTAATGATGGCTTTCTTAATTTTATGGGCGACCGCGACACTACCAAATGAATTGCTCCTTTGCACTGTTTGTTCTCTCAGGCGCGATAGCGAAGGAGACGCTGCAGTAGTCCGCAGCGAGATGGACACGACTTATTTCCAACGATCCGTGCGGACTATGTCGTTTGATTGCTCGCCAACTATGTTTACGAGTGTCAGCGTCGCCGTGTGTGTCGTTTGGTATGTGCGTGTGGTGTGTAGGGCGCGTAATGGATGGGACCTTCTCGACACCATGGATCATGGAGTCGATGTTCTCGACACCACAGACCATGAGTCCCGAGACGCACATTCGCTTGGCAGAACCGTTTCCTCTTTGTGCGAGATCCGTGCGGCATTTCAACGGTGTGACTACGATCCAGGGATCGACCGCAGAGGAATTCGAGGACCCCTGGATGACCGTCATCCCGTGCATGGGCAGGCATATCGACGATTGGTGCGACGACAATTGGGCCACAATGGAGATTGACTGCCCTTGGGCAGGCCAGTACAAGTTCGCCAACATGTTGGAGTTTGGGTCCCTCATCCCGCTACCTGACGCTGTCCTCGGTCACAAGTTCCTGAACCACATGCGCAGAGCAGTAGGTTGCATTAGCCGACATTTCAGTCGCCTTGAGTGCCAATACGTCACGTCGTCGTCACGAACTTGGGGAGGCTCACGGAGACACGAGTTGCTGGCCTGCGCTCGACACTGCCCGTTCCTGGAGGAGTACCCGCCCTATTGCCCCGGTAGTTCTCCACAAGCTGTGTCGTACTGTTATGTGCGGTTGACTGTGTCCAGATCGGATTTCGCCAGGGTTTTGTGTGTCGCTACTTCAAACAAGAGTATAAAGCTCGTCGATGCGGTTGTGCTTGTGTCACGCAAGGAGGTGGCAATTGAGGGGTCCAGACTCGTGGCGACGCGCGGGCCTGTTCGTGTGGATGGATGGCCGGATTTGGTGATAGCAGGGCCGGTCCAGAACTTTTCGTTGCATAGGGAGGTCGAGGAGAAAGTGTCCCCCATACGGGACTGTATAGGGAACTCCTTAGCACGACCGGGAGTGTTTGTTAGGATGAAATACATGTCCGTCTTTTCGGACACTGCAACAGTCGACGATCCGCTGGTCCACGTTTACGGATCGTCAATGAATGCTTTGTATGGCTACAGTTCGCGACCTCGTCCCCGGGGAACTGCGATTGTCACAAGATCTGGACGTGTGGTTGGACATCCTGCTTAAACGAAAAGAAGGGAGACGAGTGAGAGGCGTGTGTGCTGCCGAACATGACTGAGTTTTAGTAGTGGAGAAAGGCGAGGGAGGCAGTAGTTTCTAGTGCACGTCGTCTCTTTCCATGTCACGCCCTCTTGAAGTTCGGATCCCGGCGGACTTCATGGTTTGGCCTGTGAGTTCTAACGGCCTCCGAGCTTCGAGTGGTGGGCGGAGTCGAAAACGGTCCTGCTACCAATTACGCCATGACTCAATGACTGCTGCCATCAAAACCTGCGGTCGGTTGTGGAACCCCGGGGTTTTTCCTCGTGCGCCTTGGTCGAACACCGTCTTGTGTTTGGACTCGGAGTTGCTCCAATGTTTCTCTCTGTCTCTCTTTCTCGCATCCTCCTGAGGTTCGGATCCCGGCGAACTTCAGGAGTCGCCTCTCTATCGCCACAGACGGTGGTCTTCTAGATCCCTCATGGATTGCGGCAACAGCCAGAGTCCAATGACCTATGAAATATTGACACGACTGCCACTTTCGAGCTTGGGTTCATCCAGTGCCAAGTTGTGCATAACGCGAGATCGAAAATCAGAAGTAGTTCGGATTAGGGCGGACGTCTCCATTTCAACCAGCCTTTCATTCCGGTGTGGCCTTCCTGGGTCGGGGTTGAGTTTAACAACCTTAGACTTGCGGATCGTGTGTCCCTGACGCCGTTTCTGCCTGTCGCATAGTCCTGAAGTTCGGATCCCGGCGCACTTCACGTTTCGGGAGGTGCGTTGCTTTGTCTTGAGTCTTCGTGGTTCCAGGTGGGTCGCACAACCCGCCCGGCAACGGTTCCGGAGTGCGTTTGGTCGAGCACGGTTCTGGGACGCTGGCTGCATGGTTGCCTCTTTGTATGTCTCCCTCGCACTGTTCTAGTTTGGATCCCGGCGAGCTTCGGCTGTTGGACTGTCGGGGGTTCCGAGTGCCACGCGGGGAACACTACCCCGACCAGCGCAAGCTTCGAACATGACCGCCAGTTGATTCCTGCAAAAAATTCCCGAAATCTGATTCCGCCGTCTCTATCTCACGCACCGTCCTTTAGTTCGGATCCCGGCGGACTTCACGATTTCCACTGTGTGTTTGTCTATCTTTGTTCTTCGAGGTGCCCTGTGTGCCGCATAAACCACGCGTAATCCCATGCGCACTGCGAGTTTTCACTTGCTTCTCTCTCTCTTTGTCTGCCTCTCGATCTCTTGCCCACTTGAAGTTCGGATCTCGGCGGACTACCCCTTCTCGCCGTTCCGGATTTGGGTGCCCGAGTGTCTTCGTGTGCGGCTTTCGCTGCGCTACAGCCTGCATTGACGTGCGGTACCGAGTGTTCTGTTTCTCCTGTGTTTTGACAGACGTTGACGTCATGGTGTGTTGTTCGATTTGCGTTGTCGTTCGCAGATAGTATGTCTTCTTCCAAGGGTGAGGTGGAGCCAACAAGGACCTCCGGGAAGGAATCACGAAAAGATTCCACGAGGCGGTCGTCTACTGCCACGCAGGGGTGGTCAAACCATTCGAGGTCGAAATGGTTCATCGACTGGTGTTGTGGAGACACTTCCAACCCCACTGCGCAGCCATGTGGTCCTGTCATCTTCATCGATGACAGCAGAAGGCGTAGAGTGCTTGGTGCCGTCTTGCGGTGGGAGGACGCAAAGGGGGGCCGGCGACATTTCTATATGCAAAACGTTTATGGCGCCAAGGGCAACGTCGTTGCCAATTCGAAAGGGACGTTGTTGGACCTCGAATTGTATGAGGGGCTCGGAGCGGGTGCTGTGAACACCCCGTTCTACAGAGAACTCGTTCTTGGGGGTGGTTTTGTTTTGGCGCGTGAATTTTTCGACATGTTGGAGGACAGAAACATCACTCTAGACGTCCCCTGCGACGTCGACCCATCCCTGGAGCTGTCTTTGCCGTTGAAGCTGTGCAGCGATTGCGAGTCAAGCGGGGCAGCGGCGGAGGGCGGTGATCCGGGTTCTGGTCCCGCCACTCAGCTGCACCGTGGCGAGAGCCGAGGTGAGTTCGACGACAGCTAGGATGAGGGGACTGCTCCGACGTTGAGTGACACGTGGTGGTTTGTGTTGTCTATTCCTGGGGTTCAGACTGATGCTCCGGTTCAGTGGAAGAGTACGGGGCCTGCAGTACAGGTGGCGGCCTATTCGGAGGTCGACTTGGAGGCGAGCGAGGGACAGGGTGTGGAGGAGGTGGATGTGGGAGGCCTGGGCTCGAAAGGAGCTCCGCAAAAGAGGAGGGGGGATCGTCTAGACGAGTTCGCCGGTTCTACGAAGAAGTTAAAGAGCAAGGCCCTCAGGACTGCGGGGGAGAAACGCAAGGGGACCGAGGGGGAGCAGGGCCGGCAGGTTGCCAAACGACCGTCTTCGAGACAGAAGCAGCCTGAGTCTGGACCGTCTTCTCCACTGACAACAGGGACTCCCATCGACGTCGACGCTGGGTACTTCCTCGAGTACAAAAACGGCGTTCGGACAAAGCGGGAGTTCGACATTAGCCCTGCGCAGGTCGTCGACCTCGGGGACTGGGAGGACCTGTACAACCAGCGGTCCCCGGATCCCGTGCTCGTGGAAGGGATCAAAGAAGCGATGCGGTTGGGGTTCGAAAAAAAAGCGCAGTCTTACGATTTACCAACCCTGAAGCTCGCGCCGCTGGGGTTTGATAAACCTACTCCGGGGACCAAGGCAGAACGTCTGAGGCCGGAGGATTGGAGGGATGAGATGGCGGGACAATACTACTACTACGCGGTGTGTGGGCAGCACAACGCGGCTGCAGCGAGGTTGCTGCTCGACAGCGAGGTGGCCAGGAAATACAATTTCAAGCGGTGGCCTGCACGAATGGTTTACTTTTCGGACGACGACCTCGAAGGGTACTTCCTTGTCAGTTCCCAGGACAACAAGAAGGACCTCAAGGCGCCTCAACGACAGCTGAAGCTGTCAATAAGGGACATTAGGTGGCAGTGGAAGCGCGCCGGTTGCCCTCGTGCTATTATGGGGAACCCCAGCGGAAAACAGAATCAGGTCCGGAAGTGGCGTGAATTCTGTAATGTCGCACTCAACATGACACCGCACAACAACTTGTGGATTCTCGCAGATCAGCAGGGCGAGGAGACCATCAGGAAACAAGGCGCTGCCCTGCGTTCCTATTTCCCGCTGGCGATGGCAGGGGAGAACGTCTGGAAACTGGCCGTCAAGTTTTTCGAGAAATGGGAGACAGGCAGATTGATCGAACACGACGGCGCAAAGTGGATCATGCGGAAGAAGAAAGTAAAAAACGTGAAGCCTGAGGTTGCATACATCCATAATGACAAGCTGGGCAGGAAGGAGGTCGTGTACAACGTCCCTGTGGACTCGCCGACAAAGTAAGGCAAAAAGGAGAAAGAGGAGGGCAAGTGGTTCGTGCAAGTGCCAGAGCCGGACGCGCATTGTTGGAAAACGATGGAGTCGCTGACAGACAACGAGAAGTGTCGCGTCCTGAAGAAGGTAATCGCTTGCGAGGTGGTTTGGGTACAGCGTTGGCGAAGGTCGGAAAGCTGAGCGTCCAGGAGGTGGTGAATTTGGTGAAGTGCGACCGGGTGCTGGTGCGTCTGTGGAACTACTACCAGTTCAAGCACGACAAAAGGCCGGACGCGGATTGGAGCCAGAGGTTCCCGTTCCTGAAATCAAGGTCCGCAATTTTCAGACAGTTTGAGAGTCGTGGTTTGGATGCTGAGTTGTGGGACGGGAGCACGAAATACGTCACTGACTCCTCGTTGTTCAAGGACTACCCGCCCTACATGGGCTGCGACGACGACAGATCGATCGAGGCGACGGAGAAGCTGGCCGTCACAAGAAGTTGTCCGTCGACTGGAGGAATAAGGTCCTGTCCATGTTGACTGGCAGTAGACTGAAGAGTCGAGAGATCGCGCTCGCCGAAGGCATTGTGCACATAAAATGGAATGACACGGGCGACGTGACATCCATCACGCCATTCGGCAACGACCCCTTGGAGGCAGACATAAGGAGTGCGGAGGTGAAGGAGGCAGTGATTGCCACAAAGAGTCACACGTTTGTCCTCGATCTGTGCGGACCGGTGGACCTGAAGCTTTGGAAACCGCAAGCGTTCGACACTCTAGATTCCCAACTCCAGACGTGGTGTCCGTCGCATTGGACGCTCGTTGTTTTTGTCCCGCGGCAGCAGAACCTCTCCTTTCTGTCCAGCATGAACCATCTTTCTTTCGTCAAGTTGCTGGAAGGGAAGTGGGTGAGGAGGAGTCAACAGAAGAAAAGCTTCCCCGTCGGGAACAATTTGTACACGGAAGACGACCGGATGTACATACTCTTCAAAGGCGACGATTTGCGGGCCAACATGTCCGTCGTCTACGAGGGGAAACTGTCGGCAGGCGCCACTGCTGCAGTGCGGGTAACACAGAAGGTTACGTAAATGGATGTGCCTGACATCCCGTTCAACGCTTATCACTGGTCGCATACCTCGCCTGCACGTCGGGGCATTGTGTACGGGGACATGGAACGCAACCCCGCCCAAGTCGTTCAGCTTCTCGAATCCGTCACCAAGAAGGGGGAGGGTGTCGTCTTCCTCGGGAAGCCACACGCGCGGTCAGTCTGGGAAGTACTGAAAGCAGGACGGCACGTCATCGAGATGGAAGGGAACTCCGAGCTCTTGCAATTTACAGTTGATCTCGTCAAAAGCGAGGTCAATTCGGGTGCCCACAATTGCGAGTTCATGGTCGTCACCGAGACTCGGGCTCGCGCGTGGAACAACAAGACGGACATGTGGTTCAAGTTGAGTGCGAGGAAGCGGAACAAGATATACGACTTCTTGTTCCGGCAAACGCGGCCGAAGAGAGACACTGACGCCAAGTACGTGCGCCGCAAGGACCACATGTTCACGTTGCTCGACAACTACCACGGCGCCTCCCGCATGAACGCGAAGACCTTCCTCGAGAGGTTGTCGTTTTTTTACTTCATGTAGTTAGAGGAGGAGCTGACGTTCAGCAGTTACTCCTCCTTGATCTCCACGGAAGACGAGGAGACCACCGGCATCGAGCTCGACGCGACCGTGGACGAGGAGGGAAGCGATACTGAAAGCCTCGACCTGCAGCACGACCAACATTCCGCGCAGCACGCTACAGGGTCGTCCCTGGCAGGTCCGTCGACAAGCCCAGCGTCCCTCGTGTCACCGATGGCGAAACCGGCGCCTGGCACTGCCCCGATGAAGTTGTTGCAGAGAATGCAAGCTCTGGCCTCCGGCCATCGCTCACTGCGTCCCGGGTCTGACATCCCGCCCGATCATCTGTCTTGGACGAATGCCAACATTCACTTCCTGCCTGAGCCTCAAAATCGTTCCACGGAGGCGGATTGGGGCCATGACATGATTTGGCATCCAGGAGTCATCCAGCCGGCGATCCAAAAGGGTGACTGGATCATGGCTGTCGCTGTCCCGGACGGAGGATGGATGCCACTCCCTCACGGGTCGAAGTCTGACTTCCTCGACGTCGCTAGAATTGCGGTCCTCCAGAAAGTGAGGGCCGAGAATGACTCTTTCGCACCCGAAGACGTGTCCGTCATTTCCACAGTCGGGCGATTGTTCGCCGAACTTGAGGACAAGTGCTGGTTGGAGCTGACGGAGGACTACTACGACCTCAACACGAGCCCCTCGAAAGGAAGGGTGGACTGGAAAATCCCCCCTCCCAGTGGGACGCATGTAAGTATAGGGTCTCAGGGATCGGACGGTGGGGAGAACGAGGGCGACGAGGCTGGGGCCGGTAAACGAGTCCCGGGGCGACAACACGAGGGTGACGAGGCTGAGGGCGGGTCTCAGGGCGACACCACGACAGCGGAAGGCAGCGGCGGGGTGGCGGGGGAGGCCCTCGGGCGTGTGCAGTCTACCGGTCCCGGTCCGGAAGGCTCGGCACAGTCGGCGGACGTGCCCAGTTCATCCGCTTGCTCGGTGATGATGGCCTTGGTTGCTCTCCGTGCCAACTCGGTCGAAACGTTCAAGTCCGCCGGGATCCGAACTTCAATGCTTGCAAAGTGGACAGAGAGGACGGACGCGCAGAGCTGGTCAGGACCGGGGGTGGCGAGTCGTCATCCCAAAATAGACCGCGGTGCGGTGAGGGACGGGACTTCGCCGCCTGCGGGGGATCGCCAACCGCTTCGGTCGGAGCGAGAGGGTGCGTGTGGAGGGCCCGGCGACAGGGAGACGGCGAAGTTCGCCGGGATCCGAACTTCTCCGAGCAAGGCGTGTGGAGGGCCCGGCGACAGGGAGACGGCGAAGTTCGCCGGGATCCGAACTTCTTCAAGCAAGGCCTGTGGAGGGCCCAGCGACAGGGAGACGGTGAAGTTCGTTGGGATCCGAACATCTTCAGGCAAGGGAGGCCAACCAAGGATATTGGTGCAGGCGGGAGGGGCTGCGTGCGGGGGGCGGGAAGGGCATTCGTCGGAAATCGACACAGGTTCGGGCGAAGTGGCTGCATTGCATGCAGGGGAAGAAGGCAGGGTGATGGACAAAGAGAAGGAAGTGGAGGAAGGAGACACAGGGGAGGAATTGGAGGAAGGAGGGGAGGAAGGGGAGGAAGAAGAGGATGAAGGAGAGGAAGGGGAAGAAACGGAGTTGGCTGGGTTGCTAGGAGGGCAGGAGGGGGGAAAAGGTGAACTCGATACAGGAGACGACGAACGGACTTTCGGCAATGACGATGACAGATCTGGGGAGTCGTCTGACGAATTCGGGCAGCTGTACGGAGAACACCGTGAGGAAGACGATGACGACGATGACACGGCACTGGGTATGGTGACACAGGTGGTCACAAGCCTTTCGGCAGAACGTGATGACTATGAGGTCGAAGCAACGACGTCTGCCGTCGATCTCCAACACCGGTTCAACGAAGCTCGTGTAACAGTCTGCCTGACTAAACCGAGTGTGCGTATTGACATCGACGAAGTTATCGATAGCATCCTGGGCGACCACCACATGTCCGCGCAGCCGTCCTCGACGCCTGATGTCGACGACCCTCTCGACGACAAACCTTCCGGGGGATCTGTCGTCGATTTTTCGCCGACGAACTCTCTGATGCTGTCGCCGACCATCGCCAGCGGAGGACAAGGCGGGATCAAGGGACGACAAAATGTCACATCCCCGAAAAAAACTGTCGCCGGTACTCGAGCTCTCGACGTGCTGGCCTTGCCCGTGCCAACTTCGCCGATTAAAAAGCGGAGAGACAAACCAGCTGGTAAGCAGTGACAAACGCCACTCTGTCTGCGCGCCAGTGACCGCAGTGTCCGTCGATGCCGGGGAGTTCCCGATGCCGGCATGCTACAGCCACCACTCCTTCAAACTTCCAAGTACATGTGAACGACCATCCTCTGAGTCGGCCAGGTCATTGGTCGTGTGCAGGGCGTACGAGACAAAAACATGTGTATTTTTGTTGAAGCGTTCCCTCACATAATGGAAGGATGGTGTTTCTTTTTCGGAATGAGTGGTGGTTTTAGTCCGCCGGGATCCGCACTGCCAAGGCCGCTGTGTAATGCGGTTACTCTTTTGGTGCCTCGATTGGGAAAAGTCCGCTGGGATCCTCACTTCACAAATGTTTGGCCTCCGGGTTTGTGGCTTGTTGAGGTTTTCCCTTCTGAAGGGCGGGGGTGTCGAGGTCGAACGCAGTGCTCCTTTTGTTTTCCAGCGGGGCCTGCGTGGAAGTATTCTCTATCTCTCTCATGGCTAAACGGGGCTCTGTAAATAGATAGGTCCTGCATCTTCTACATTTCGTGGTTCTTGAGTTGTCGTTTTCATCGGATTCATCTTGGATTACGTGAGTTCATTTTCCGTTTTCTCTTCCTTAGGTTGCACAGGGGTTGGGTCATCTCTCTGGGTTGGAAAAGTCCGCCGGGATCCAGACCTTAGAGATGTTTGCCTTCCGCTTCTGTGACTTGATGTGTTTTTCCCTTCTGAAGGGCGGGGGTGTCGAGCTCGAGTGCACTGCTCGTTTTGTTTTGCAACGTGGCTCGTGCAGAAGTTCTCTCTCTCGCACTCTCATGGCATGATGGGGTTCTGTAATTGCATGGGTCCTGCGTCTTTTAGATTTCGTGGTCCTTTAATTGTCGTTTCGTCGGGTTCTTCTTCGGAAACGTGTATTCACTTTCCGTTTTGTCTTTCTTCTG